TAAACCTTTGTAGTTTTGGTAAATGTAAGTTGTTAATAGACAACAAATATTGAGTCATCCCATATATAATGCGGTTTTTTATACTTCTGCTATTTTTAAGAATAAAGATAAACAGAACTTTTTTTAAAGTAATTATCATATATAGGTAGAATTTATAGATAATGGAAAAGAACATGTTTTAGATTAAAAACAGTTTTGTTGATCTTTATTTTTAAAAATAAAAGAAATATAAAAAGCCGCATTATTTATGGGATGACCCAATACATTTAACCCTCTGCGGTCGTATGTCCACCTCACAATCAGTCTCCAAAGCTTTTTTACTGTTCCAGTCATATAAAACTTAATAATATACGTTAAATAAAACTCTATTATTTTACTGAATTTATTTAACATTTTAAGAAAATAATAAATTTAATTTATTTTTTATAATCATGAATTATGTTGCTACTGTCCACACCATGGAAATTAATTCCGACCAAACACACTACTGTACAACATTGATAAAACCGCAATGGGTTAATTGTCCCTTTAAATTAAAAAACATTCAACAGAGTTATAAAGATAATTTTAGATTTTAGTTCAGTGTTGGATAATTCTTCTGGATTTAGAAATGGCTTATTGTTAGTATTATCCGTGACGAAAGTGTTCGCTGAGAGTAATCCAAATATACTTGTGTTTGATCTGATTATCACCGGAAAGATTACACGTTGTATAAAAGGCATACAAGAGCTAATTGAAAATGTAGATATATTAAAGGCAGTTAATATCTCCCGGCTCATCAAATTTTGTAACCGGTCTTACTTATCTGAAGCACATTAAACAATCGAAAGTTTTCGCGAGTTGCAAGGAGTAGCAAGATTAACTCGCGAACTTGTTTGAATGTCAAGGCCGCATTATTCAGAGGAAACTTTCATTCTGCTGCAATTCGAGGCAAATGTTTAAGAAATCATTTATTATTCATTTTCGCTTCAATAAACATAATATGTACAGAACTATTGTATTATAAATTTGTTTTCACAATGTAGGTTACACCGATTAATCCTTTATTTTATAAATATGTATACTTTACGGGCAATGCGTTTAACGTGAGCATTGTGTAGAATGCCCGTTCGAAAATACATTATGCAAAATGCCCGTAACAAGTTTCGGTCAATTTATAAAATGTCCGATCATTATACAGAATGCCTAGAGAGTGATGGTCAATGTATTGAAACGCTCTGATAAGGAAATTAAGAAATGTGTTTCTTATTGAGACAATATATCCCTTGATTAAAATCAACATACAGTCATTATAATAACTGACCAGTAGCTCTGCACTGTAACCAAGTCCTAACCAATACCTAACCAAGACCTAATACCTAATACCTGGGCATTATACAAAATGTTAGGGCCATTTATGAAATACCTGCCCATTATATACATTGCTCAAAAAATTGGGCATTCCACACAATGCCCGGTTATTTTACAAAATGCCAACGTGAAACATATTGTCCGTAACATATATACTGATTTCAAATTGAATCTAATAAATACGAATTATTCAGTTTTCTTATATCAAAATGAAATACAATAATTTTATTATGAATAAGCTTTAAAGTAAATATTGTCTCGCGACAAACATAGCATTTATATTTCTTCTAACAATTCGTTTAAATTTATTATTCTTTATTTTAAAGCTAGTTTAAATTTGCTATTCTTAAACATTTATTATTATCATCATCATCATCATCATCATCATCATCATCATCATCATCATCATCATCATCATCATCATTATTATTATTATTATTATTATTAAAATAAATTTTAAAAAACAAGAATTGAAGTGAGATTATATTCTTTTCATTAATAGTTTCAACGAATTAAAAATAAGATAAAACTTTATTGCAATATAAATGCTTGAAAACTTTTATACTGATATTGATATGTAATGATAAAAAGCAAAATTTCGGTTACTCATGACTATGACTTTTAGCTCACTTTTCTTTAAAAACAAAATACCTACGCCAGTGTGACTTTACGTGAACGCCTCTAGCAAATAACTGTAAAAAGTTAAGTACGGCAATTGTGTCTCAAGAATTTTTGATTGCAATCGTCGTGGGAAAAGGTACACTACCGCCTATAAATCACCGGACGTCTAATTATTTTAAAGGAAATATACATTATGTTATAATTGCAAGTAGCAATAAAGCAGCCTCCTCAAAGATTTTATTTTTATGTAAGTTGAAAGCATTTAACTCAACTTAATACAATCAAAAAATAATACTATTAATTAAAAATATAAATCCCATTTGGAAAACTAAAAAAGAGTTTCTACAAAAATTACTAGTAATTCTTAGTTATTATTTTACGGTTTCCGAACTTTACTATTTATGAAATTTTATCAAATCCACTCATTTATTTTGTAAGCTAACACGCAAATATTTAGGCTCGATTTTCTCGTAAACAATATCTGAAATAAAAAATTGTATTCCATGTTTTCAAATGATTTTCTTCTTGTAATTTAGTGCCGTTTAGAAGTATTCCAATTTGGCAAAGAACACTTTTGAACTAAGATAACTTTCTAAAAATTTATTTCAATTGAAGAACATGTCTTTTACAAATATGTGACAAGTTTTTACTACGAAAGATCGAACGATATATCAAAATCTTCTTTTCATAATCAATAAGAACAAGTCTGGAAATTAATTAGGAATCCCTCAACAGTTTATGTAGCGCAAAAAAATTCAGCGTTAAATAGTTAATTACTAAGAAATTATTTATCGCAAAAACGCCTGCATAAAGTGCATAAATGAACTGCTAATTTCCCCTTGCAAAAAACTTTAAATTGAGAGTCTTTACCGCTAAAAAATGAAGGTATTTAACGAGCACGTAGGCAATAACGTCTAGGTTCATTCAAACCGTCATTCATCAAATCTTTTTCACTCTTTTGAAGATGCTTCTTTAAAACGCGTGGAGCTACTTGTTGCATCTACTAATTGAGATTAGATGTCAGAAACTTGGCAATTAAAGAAGCTCAAAAACCGCTGGGTCAAAGCGAACTCAATCACCGTCAGCCCAGAATTAATGAACGTACAAAGACGTTCCTCTTAAAGCAAAAAGCTTCCTTGTGTGAGCAAATTGTTCCAGTAACAAATGTGTCGCAACAAATAACGACTTATTGTCTTGTGTTAGATAATGCATGTAAACTAGATCATTTAATTTACGCACTCCTCTTATCAGGAGTTGTGTAAATGAATAAATTTGTATTTTCATATGAACTATATGGATTCTGAGTATAAATATATTTGATTGTTTAACACTTTGACTGCCAAATAAACATTCATCGAAACTCCTATGCAGTTGAAACAATTTTTTTAATTGAATAGAAACTAAAATGTCAAGACTTTTCATAATAATTGCTCTACTATCTTTCTTATATCTCATACGTATGCACTTTCTTCTAAACATTATATATAAAGTTAAACATGAAACTGTATACTTTTTTCTGACTAGTAACTAATTCATTATTTTCAGAATTATGATATACAGTGCACTGATGGTTACGGAAAATTTAAAAGGGAAATATACATTAGCATGAAGGCACACATCAGTCAAAACATAGAGACGCGTTTATATTACTTTACCATCGCAACACCTTACGGATAAAAACAAGAAAGTGTGCCAAGGCGAAATAAATAAATTATTTTGATCTAAAACACGTTATTATGTTTGCTGATATTTTCTGCGACATGTTCATTTACTGCGGCGTGTCTATATATTACCTAATAATGGTACAAATTCATTAACGTTAGTTTGTATTTTATTGTACCGAAAACTTTTGTACTCGTACGTTTCGCTGCTGCTGTATTCCATTAATTGTTCTAGCAATCTATTTTAATACAGTAACCTTTATAATTCTAACTTTATCGAGAAAAACGAAGTATTAAACATCAGCCACTCACAGTAAGCTGGTTCGCATTATTCTCAGATACTAAATACTAAAGCCATACCCAGATACTAAAGCTATATGCAAACAGTAGCTCTCAGTGCAACATATCAATATTTACATTAATTTTTATCTATTAAATACCCAACTTTAAATATTAACTAATAAATTACTTAATATTAACAAATATTCACTATCGTCGAATTTTACATATGTTACAGAATTATCATTGTAACTGTCGTAAAAAATGGTAATTGTTTGTGCAAGGTTAGGGAAATAAGGCTGGATATTATGAGTAACGGAATGATCATTGCTGCATAGCGAATGGCAAAGGAATTCATTTTTACCGCAATAAAGTAGTATCACGTATAACAAAGACACCATTAGAAAACATTAATAATTATAACTGAGAACTCATTCTAAATTCGTTATATTCCTCTGATTTTCTTCCTTTCAAATATCACTTACTTTGCTCACTACAATGTCTTTTATCTAAACGATACATTTTATCTGAAAACGATCACGCAAACAATGACCAATACATCGTAAAAATAATGAAACTAAATATCAATGTTAATATTTTACATTGAATGTTACTGCAAAAAAACATCACTTCTAGAATACGGATGTTTATGTACATAAATTCAAATTTTCGAGCACTAGTTCACAAAAATTAGAACAAAAAAGGAATTTGTTTATTTTATTAATTCCATTGCAAACCTTGGTTTATGTACACATTTCAATTATCAAAAAATAAGAATACCTACACTAATAACGATTTTTTCTAATTCAAAAGTATCTTTAAAAAATATAAGCAACAAAAAAAACAAAATAAACATAAAGATCAAACATAAAAATTGCATCATATTGTAAAGAAAACCAAAATCTCTTTAAACTTCATTAAACATTAGGCTGCGTTGAATACTAGGCTATTACAACTATTACAAACAAAATGAAATACATAAAACCACATTCTAGTCCTTCTTTATAAACGAAGGTACCATTCAAAATACCATTTGTTAAATAACATTCCCAAATAGACGACAAATCCTGCAAAAATTCGGTCGCTTACCAATGTCATGTGTAGGCTCCCCTTAATCCAACAAACACACTCGACGATAGACTTAACGGGATTGCTGCGGCCCGATACCACAAGGTTTCCTATGAAAGCCGCACTCGCGGCCCGAGAAATCGTGTCGGTTTTCCCGTAGAACAAAATGAACAAGCGAATTTTACGATACACCTGTCGCGGGTGATAGATGTCACGCGCGTGGCTTCGCAGTTTCACGGTTTCACAAACACTCGCCGACTCGGAGATCTCTCTTTCACCAAAATGGTACTGGAAGGGACTAAAAAGAAGCTCTCTAGCCCCGCCGATCGCTGGGAACCGTGAGCTCAATGTCAGCCACGTTCGCCACGTGGTCTTTATCGAGTTCACGAAAAACCGTCGGCCAACTCGTAACGCGGTTCATTCTTTTCCACCGTTACGTAACACCTGAATTCTTGCCACAGACCCGAGTCCGTTTGCTCCGTGCGGAAGAAGGCGAAAATGAAAACGAAGACAAAGACAAAAACGAAAACAAAGACGAAGACGAAGAAGAGGCAGAGAAGATGATGAAGAAGAAGAAGAAGAAGAAGAAGAAGAAGAAGAAGAAGAAGACGAATAAGCGAAAGAAAAAGAAGAGAAACTCTCTGGCCAACAGTAGTACGCCTAATTTCTTCGTGCAAATATTTGTCCTTTACTAAAGCGGCCACGTTCCACTGTGACGTTCATCGACGTCGCAGCTCGTGGTATCCCTGGGGATCGATTAATGAGACTGGTCCCGGTTTCCCGTTCTACAGAAGAGGATTCCGCGCGAGCAACAAACACGTGGTCGGTCTCCCGCGCGAGCAACACTAGCCACATGAAAAACGGAGCGTCCGATCGATGACTCCAAGTTTCCGGCGATAAAACCGATCGTTCCCCGTTAACGACGAGGTGGATCGATTAAACGGAACCCGGTGCCGTGGAGCCTCGGCGTCATTCTTGAGTCGCGCGCAAAAACGCGCGAGACGGCCACGGTTTTCCCGTTCACGCCGTGCGTCCCATCATCGCGTATCGGGTGTAATCAATGCGTACGTACGTAAGTAACGTGATCGTAGGAACTTCACGTTCACCTATGATCGTCCGCGAGTAATTACGTGCGCGTAACGGCGTGCAGCAAGGAAACGAGACGCAAAGGTGGCGTGTTCGATTGGGAGATCGGGGGGATCGAAGAAATTCCCCGGATCAGCGGCATGAAAGTGCCACCAACCGGGCGACGTTAGGTTCGGAACAACACGCGAGAGAGAAAGGGAGAGAATGAG